AAAATGCCTAGAATTTTTTTGCAAATCCAACTGAATAGTTGAAACCTATTTTGACCAGAAAGAAAAGAGTGGAAGCCAGGACTGCATTCATGTTAATTACAAACTTCTTATCCATTTCAGGAAGATTTTTCTGATTAATTTAGTATTTTTACAGCACGCTTTCTTGATCATGGTAGAGATGGATCTCTGTCCACCATCCAGATTAGAAGAAGGAGCAGCGTTTACAGTCAATCAAGCCTTTAATTACTTTTATGGCTCACCTTTAGAGGTGATGTCACTGATGTCTGTGAGTTATTGTTTTTGGTGCTGAATCAGCCTATAGGGAATGCCTTTTTCTAGGGGCGTTTTCCTGGACTCTAGAAAAGGCAATTATTTTCTTATACTTTTCAAAGAGCGCAAACATGAGAGAGAGTGAACTCAGTGGCTAAGGGGAATGAAGGGCTCAGAAAGGAGGTGGAGAGCATGACAGCTTTGTGCTGCACATCTGTGTGACCACATAATGGATCTGCATATTTTTGGAATAGATTAAACTTATTTTGATGCTAGTGTATTATTCCTGTCTTCCTTTGCTGCTCAGTCTACTTGGCATGCTAAAAGAACCATGTAAATGTAGAGAAATTCTTGATGAAGAGATTGCAGACATGAACATTAAGCATCACAAAGATCTAAATCTTCTTCTCTGCCCTGTATTCTTAAAGAATACAAAAAAAACCAAAAAAAACAAAAAAAAAAAAACCAACAAAAAAAAAAACCAACACTGAAACTGGTGTTGAGGAAGGTGTAGGACCATTTTTTCGCAGTGAATTTTTCTGTGCTGGGAGACTTTGCACATGGAACTGATCAAGGATTTCTGTTGCAGCTGTTCCTCATTCACTTCCTCCACATGTTTTTGTTCATGTTTTTTTTTTTTTTTCTTTCTTTCTTTTATTTCTTTTTCTTGAGGAGGTTGCAATATTGACAAGCCTAACAGTTATTCAACAGCAAGTAGCAGCCAGGGGACTGACTTTCCCCGTCAACATGAGAAGTGCCACAAAAAATGTTCTGTGAGCCAAAGATATCTGTGGAGCAAAAAATTGGAGGAGTGCCTTGTGGGCTGTGCTACCATCAGCCTGGTGATCCCACCAGGAACCCAGTCCTACAGGGCAGCTGGATGTAGATAGAGGTGTTGCAGGAGTGCTGCGGAAAATGTAACTGAGTCACTCAGATACCAGGTGAGACAAAGTTAATGCAAGCATAGAGCTGTCTGAAGTACTACTCATTGAGTTAAGCTCATTCAGGAGGCTGCCTGGAGGGGTGAGAGGAGGTAGAGGCAGCTCTTAGTTTGACTAATGCAACTTGCCCACTCAAAGGACAGACAGGAAAACTATTTTTAATTCAGGCAAACACTGTACGTCCTCAATGTCCTAAAAGTATCTTCAGTTGTTGGACTTCTGCACTGAGTGAATTTAGAAAGAAATTACACTGATGCCTTAGAATCATAGAATCATAGAATTACTCAGATTGGAAGGGGCCTCAAGGATCATCAAGTCCAACCGCAGCCTAACCATAGTAACCCTAACAACCCTCTGCTACATCATATCTCAGAGCACCACATCCAAACAGCTCTTAAACACATCCAGGGATGGTGACTCAACCACCTCCCTGGGGATCCTATACCAATGTTTAACCACCCTTTCTGTAAAGAAGTGTTTCCTAACATCCAACCTAAACTTACCTTGGTGCAACTTGAGGCCCTTGTCTTGTCACCTGTCACCAGTGAGAAGAGACCTACACTGCTCTCACTGTAAGCACCTTTCAGGTACTGGAAGAGAGTAAAAAGGTCTCCCCTCAGCCGCCTCTTCCCCAGACTAAACAGCCCCAGCTCCCTCAGCCTCTCCTCATAGGGCTGATTTTCCAAGCTCTTCGCTAGCCTCATTGCCCCTCTCTGGACCTGCTCCAGTACCTCCATGTCCTTTCTGTACTAAGGTGCCCAAAACTGAACACAGTACTTGAGGTGAGGCCTCACCAATGCTAAGTACAGGGGCAGGATGACTTCCCTAGTCCTGCTCACCACACCATTCCTGATAGAAGCCAGGATGCCATTGGCTTTCTTGGCCACCGGGGAACACTGCTGGCTCATGTTCAGCTGACTGTCCATCAGAACACCAAGGTCCCTTTCCATCAGGCAGCTTTCCAGCCACACCTCCCCAAGCCTGTAGGGTTGCCTGGGGTTGTTGTGACCAAAATGCAGGACCTGACACTTGGCCCTATTGAAACTCATGCCGTTAACCTTGGCCAATCAATCCAGTCTGTCCAGGTCCCTCTGCAGTGCCCTTCTACCCTCTGGCAGATCAACACTCCTTCCCAGCTTAGTGTTGTCTGCAAACTTACTGAGGATGCACTCAATCCCCTCATCAGGATCGTCAATGAAGATGTTAAACAGAAACAGCCCCAGTACTGAGCTTTGGGGGACAGCGCTCATGACTGGCCACCAACTAGATCCAACTTCATTGACCACGACTCTTTGGGCCCGGCCATCCAGCCAGTGCTTCACCCAGCAGAGCGTACACCCATTCAGACCATGGGCAGCCAGCTTCTCCACAAGAATGTTATGGGGGACTGTGTCTTGACTCAACTGCCTTGAGTTATTACATCCTCTACTAGGTGTTCTTTCAGGGGATTTGCTCTGTTTTAATCACGAAAACTCTTAGGTATTAGAAACTTTTAGGATTACAAAGAATGTTGCCAGATGTTGAGGGAGGTGATCCTCCCCTCTACTTAGAACTGCTGAGGACACATTTTGAGTTCTTTGTGCAGCTCTTGGCTCCTCAGTACGAGAAAGGCATGGAACTCCTAGAGTATGTCCAATGAAGGGCTACAAATCTAGGAGGCTGGAGCATCTCTCCTATGAGGAGAGGCTGAGAAAGCCAAGACTGTTCAGCCTGGAGAAGACTGGGAGGGATCTTACTAATGTGTATAAATATCTGAAGGGAGAATATCAGCAGCTTGGGGCCAGGCTATTTTTCATGGTGTCCAACAACAGGACTAGGGTCAATGGGGACAAATTGAAACACAGGAAATTCTGTCTGTGCATGAGAAAAAACTTCTTCACAGTTTTCCCCTTGACAGAGGATTGGAAAAGGCTGACCAGGGATGTTGCAGAGACTCCTCTGGAGATACTCAACATTATAAAAGTTCAAGATTCCAAGCGGTTCCTTCCAGCATCAACCATTCTGTGATTCTGTGAAACCAAGCATGTACAGCAGCAATTTTCGCAGCAAGGAAACACCTTCAGGGGATGTAAACCCCTCAGTTTAGTATTTCTGGTTCTGCTATGGCTACAGGCACACAATGAGCACCATCTAGAGTTACAGTCAGCAGTATGGCCTTTGGTGGCAAAGGTTTCCATGTGGGTTATCATGAATCACTCTATAAATGCTTATTGCTAATTATTCCTCTTGATTTTTAGATGGAATTTTCTCAAATTTCTCAGAACTCTGGTCTCAGTTCAGCTTGGTTTTAATCTCTTTAAACTCAGAGATTTAGCTTGTTTGAGACCCCAGGGCAATGTGGCAGGATAGTGTCACTGCAGATTGCACTGATTTGTGACTTCCCACACAGCTCTACACCCTCAGCTGCACCTGCTACATTGCCGCCTACAAAGGACAGTGTCCTGTTAGCGGGATTCATATCTAAATTTCAAGTGAAGGAACACAGAGAGTGAAAATCCAAGTATAGCTGAGGGTTACAGGAGAAGTCTTGGATAAAGAGCACGAGGCTCTTATGCTGCTGGCTGGGTGCTTTTAAAACACTATCATCTTTCTTCTCATGTGCCTATCTCTAAGCATTCATGTTATCTATAGGCCAGAGTACCCCAGAGTACCCACCATATTAATCACTGAGAGTTTGAAGACAAGATGACATTAATGTTCTAACAGAAACTGAGCTTTGTCCAAGGCTGCTGCCAAGAAGAAGGTCTCATTTCAGCAGCTTAGTGACTGCAAGATGAAAAGACATTTTCCCTTGTGCTACTGCCACACACCACTGAAAAGAGTCAGTCCTTGTCCCTTTGCCTCCCACATCTTAGGTATTTATAGACATCGATCAGATTCCCTCTGAGACTTCTTTTCTCAGGGCTGAGAGTTCCTGTCTCTCATGGTGGGATCACCTAGACCAAGGGGAGTGCAGAATACAGGAGCTCTCCCTGGTCCACAGTACAAACACAGATGGTGTACCCAAGTTGGGCTGGCTGCTCTACCCCTTCTTCTCCTTTGTTCCCTGCTATCTGGATTACACATGTATCCCAGTAGATTGCTTCCTTGGCAGTCAGACTGGGTTCAAAGCCCTGTGTTGAACTGGAAATGCATATCTCTCTAAAACCACATTCAAGCCTGTATCACCTGTAATCTTGTACTTTTCCTGGAGTGGCCCAGGAACTCATTCAACTGGTCCACAGTGCCACAAGAGTCACCCCTTACCCATCCAAAGGACAGTTTCACGGCCCAAACTTTGGAGTGGTTTTAACCCCAGTTTCACGGCTACGGGAGACAGATGATGTGATTTAGGACTACCCTTCGGCTTGATTTTTAGCTTTGACTCATTCCTGAGTCTTAACAATAAATTTGATTTTGTTTTAAACTATCTGACAGTTTCTTGCAATTGATAGATTTACTGGGACAAATGGAGACAGTAAATTTACGTTTCAGTAAGTGTTCTTGCAAATATTTTCTTGTCCTCTCAGACAGAGAAGAGCAAGATGTTCTGTTGATTGACCCTCAAGTGGTGACTGACCAGTTGGAACTCCCTCCTACTTGCTCAGGACTTTTGAATCTGTTTTCATCTGGAACTCCAGTTCTATAAGCTTGTAAGCAGCATTCCTTTTATTGACAAAATACTGGAAATCCTCTGTGATAGAGGACTGAATTTTAATTTTTTTCTTAAGGTCACAATTAACTGTACTAAAAAATGCAGATACTTTTAGACACTACTTACGCATTAACCAGCGGTCTTGTAAGTTGACGTTACTTTTCTTGTAAAGAAATTTATTTCACTTACATGTAGAAGTTATGCCGTTACAAAGGCTATAAATAGCATTGCCTCATTCAAACACGCTGATATAATTTATTCTCAAGATCAAAATTATTGTAAGGACAAACAGCAGTTTATCATTTTTATGTGGCTGGTTACACCCTGTTTCATAGGCAAAACAAGAAGCCACCGGTAAGACATCACACTCAATAAATCAGTGCATTTAGGTCTTAGGAGCATGATTCTGTTCTGACAATTCAGTGTCAGCTGTGCAGGGATTCAACTAGTTCAACTCTGAACTTGTGGCAAGAGTAAAGAAAACCTGTTAGAGAAAGGAGTGGAAGAAGAAAGTTCACCTTCACAGTCTCAATGACTCAGGAGGACTGGAATAACTTTTTGAGTGGCAATAGCTTGATGGGGTGTTGGACCCCCATGATTTATAAAATGGGAAAGCTGAGTGCTTGAGAAAAGGTGCCAAGATCTGTGATTGCAAGAGACCAGCCAAGAAGTCTACAAATGGCCAAGTCTACAAAAGCGTCAGCTTTAAGATTCTACTGCTTCACCAATGAGAATATGTCACACAGCTATCGGAATTTAAAAGTTATTTCTGTGCAGCTAAATCAATTTTGATAAGACAGAAAAGCACATAGCCCATAGGAGTTATTTGTTCAAGGCCTGGGAACCACTGCTGCAATGAAGGGATATCCATGTCAGAAATGATACAGCGATGTTATGTATAACATTAGGCTCACATTCCATCTGGGAAAAGAAAAAAAAAAAGTGTAGTCAGCAATATATATACACACCAGCCATTCAGATAGACTAAGGCTGATACTCCTCGTCCTTCTTCCAAACACTGTGGCTTAATAAATTAATAACAAGTGTTAAAGCAAACTGGTCTTGTCTAAGCTGATATAAAAAACTTTTTTGAAAGAGGTGCCTACCTTGCATTTGGGTGTTGGCTCAGAGAACCTTATTCATCACAGACCGGAGAAAAGAAGTTGTACAAGACAAACTGAACCTTTATTTTCTGAACTCAGGCACTTAGTCATCAGTAATTATTTAGATTGGGTAAATGAGCCAAAACACTTCATAAAGCAATGTTTTTGTTTTTTTTTTTTGTTTTTTTTTTTGTTCCTCTGTTATTGCATCTACTGCTTTCCCACAACCACTTTAATATTAAAGTGCTTCTGTTGGCATTGTGCCAGCCAAAGGAGAAACAATCTGGATGAGAGTAGGTATATGCCAATCACAACCATTGGGCTGTTCTACAAACAACAGAATTTCTGTTCTACAGGAATAAGCCACAGCAGCTCCTATCATCAGGCATCCACAGCCTTGAGATCTGTATGCACTGTGACAGTTCAAGGTTTCTGCATACAAAAACTCTGTTGGGCAGATCTTGAGATTGAGGGAGGAAGGGCTCTCTGCCAACTAAATAGATTATTTTTTTCCTGTAATAGGAAATAAAAAATGAGCCATTTAATGAAATGACTAAATGTAGAACTGGGTTGATCTGCTTGCTTGCAAACATCCTTGAAGACTATCTGTTAGCTCCAGCTAGGACAACGGTAGCTAGTATTTGGCTTTTGCACCAAATTATGAATGCAGTCTGAAAAAAGAAGGGAAACACACAGCTTGATTTTCAGATCTGGTGGTGATATGTGAGCACTGGAATACTCTTTGTCCATATGCTGTACTGATATGCATTATTACAAACAGCCTTACTGTCTTATTGACTCCTACCTGCTGACATGGTCATCTCAGCTAGGAGCACTGCAGAGGCCTCTGTGCCTGCACTCCCATCCATTAGTAGAGCAAATCCTAACTGTCCCTGACAAATGTCAACACTTCAAGTCTAACTTCTTCACTTCAGCATTATCCCCAAAGCTTCTTTCTCACCTTCTTTTTTCAGGCTCACTAAAGAAAACACTGAAATGTCTTTTGCAGCATCTTCAGTAATGTACAGGTTTCTTCTCAGTGGGAGATTTAGGCCTGTCACTTCCTCTGGCAGATTCAGGGGAGATGCAGGCCATTGTGCTCACAACAGCATCTCACACAACTGTGTGAGTTTAGTACGAAGGCTGAGGAGGGAAACAAATTTGTGAGCCTTTAGGAGGGACCAGGGCTGAGAGCTGCTGGTGGCTACAGCACCTGTGACTGACTCCTCTACATCCAGGGGATGCTTTAAATCCCATCTGTGTTTCAAATCATAGTACCATGGAATCACAGAATGGCTTGGGTTGGAAGGTACCTTAAAGCCCACCCATTTGCAATGCCTTGCTAAGGGCAGGGCTGTAGTGCATTAGTAAAAATAGTTACTTGGAATTAAAGAGGATCAGAAGGCAGAATGCTCTCTCTGTGTTACTTGATATTTCTGTCACTGTTGCAGATGACATCACGTGAGTGGGTTCAGAAAGCCCAGGTTCAACCTGCTCTTACACACTTACAGTGATGGAGAGTCCCCTCTGTCCTGAAAGTCTTCTGGTGCTTCACTAAGACAAAAGCTGCTCCTGGGGCAATTTATATTTGACTCTTATGCGATTCTCCAGTTGATGTCCAATCTGATCATAATCGGAAGATCACTTTCCTTAAATGTAGAAAGCATATGATAGGATAAAACATAGTCAGAGGATTGCTTACTTGCTGAACCAGAGTACAGATATTTCCAGGAGTTTACAGTTTTCTGGGTAAAGGAATAGGCTAAGTGAGAAAGACCCTTCTTTGAGAAGAGTTAAAAATAAGCAAGAATAAGAGAACAGGATGAGTTAAAGTTATCCATCTGTTACCCAGCAACAGTATATGACTGTCACACTCACAGGGACAGACTTCTTCTGCCTATGCTAATCTTTTTTGGGTTGATCTTTTCTGCAATGAAATGTGCATTCAGCTTTTCTCCTCCTGCTCAGCCACATCAGAAGCACCATGATAGATGCACTTCACCATGCCTTTATCTGATGCTGGTGAAAAGACCTGGAATGAGTACCTCCACAAGGAGACATCTACTAAAAAGTGGTGGACTTGACCTCAGCTCCTCTTCAGTTCAATGCAGATAAAGTTCATGTAAGTTCCTTATCTCAAGCGAGAACTGACACCTAACCAGCGCAGGGGATGAGGGTTGGTTTGGATCACTATTTTAAGGCTTAGCATGCCTAAATCCTATTTTAGCTCTGGCTCAAAATACATCCCGCCAACTTGCAAGAGTGTTTGTTTTGGCTCTTGCTCCACAGTCACCACCATCTCTAGGTTATGGAAGAAGACATCCATGGATACAGGTCCAGCTCAGCAGTTGGAGCTGCATTACCCCCAAGCTGCCTTACTTGGAGAGCTCAACTTGGATATGACCCACACTGCGTTGTTGCAAATATGCACAAAACTCCCCCGAGTACTCCTTGAGTTGCTTTCTGTTTGGGAAATCATAGTATTTCAGTCCTTGTCCTCTGGTGCTCCTGCAAAGCTTTGCAAGTGCTGGGTTTCCCATGGTCACAGTCCTTCCTTGAACAATTTTTGAAGAACATTAGACTGTTTTAAACTGGTGGCAGCTCTGTGTTCTGAGTAGTGTTGTCAGCACCTGCATAATGCCCAACTCAACCATGAATATTTCTAGAAATGACTAGATATGAGCAGTGAGTCATTCCAAGCAAGAATGAGAAGCATACTGGCATGTCATCTCTCCTGGGAAGTGGCGTTCATTGTATGGATCAGAGAAGTGGCAAGGGACTCATCCTGTCTCCTTCCATGTGCACAGCCATACCTGTGTAATGTCACTAAGAGGGTTTGTTATGGCACTTGAGCTGTGCCCTGACTCTGTATGTGTACAACAGTAACACCACGAATGTTTCAGAGCAGTGATGGTGTCACAACATCCCTCATTCCAGTCTTCTGCCCCTCTCTGTGCAAGTGCAGGTTTGATCCTGGGCCTTCCTCCCACCACTCCTTCCTGCCTTCAAGGCAATCATCCCTAATTTTTTTTTTTTTTTTTTTCCTGATAAAGAAGGAGGGGCTGAAGCAGGGTATATCCTTGCCTTACTGGACCTGCCCCACCTGCCCCAAACCACCTCCTTCCCTTAGCTTGGTGCCAGAGAAAAACTGGTGCACACATGGAAAGAGAAGTGCCAGTGCAGCTGGACTCCCAGGACAAGTGTGGTGATGGATGGATGAGGTGATTCAAACTGTTTCAGAATTTTTTCCTTTGCAATTCTTGCCAGAATTACTGGTGAGACATTTTAATTCCAACAAGGTGCCATTTGCCCATGGTGCAGCTTTCTGGTCAATCCTGCCCCATGACAGAGCAGTCAAGGGGTCAGTAGTGTACCTACATGGCTCACATGTGACATAAGGAAAAAGTGTGTGGAGCAGAGGGTCCTGCTGGGGGCAGATCTTTCATGATGTTATTGAGGGAAAATTGTGGTAAGAAGGTATGGGCCTGCATGCCACGGTCAATACAACTCTGCTGCTATTTTCCTCCCTGGACAATTATCCCACAGTGAATTTCTGAGTCACAGGATGGCATCCCATCAGATCAAATCATTTGCTCAGTGATGGAACAAACTAATGTGCAAGCTTGAAATGGAGAGCTGTCTCTGTTTGCTCAGCTGACAGCAGTGCAGCAGTTGCTATTTCCATTGCAACCCCTCAGAGCAAAAAAGGAGGATATGTAGCAACCAGCAAAAGAAAATAGAGACGTTCCGTATTACTCTTTCAACTAAATATGACCAAGTGCAGGCCGACAGCTCTCTGCCCTCACTTCCCCGAGTGCAGAGCGTTTGCTTTATCCACTGATGCAACAGATTACTAAATAATAGACAAACCTGATATGAACTCTCCCACATATCTCTGTGCCTGTGCTTACATGAGAAGACTCTTGAATTTTTTGCTTGATTTTAACAGCATTACTACCAGTAATATGTCACTGCCCTCTGCTGGAAAAACCTGTGCAATCGTGCCAGGCAAGTGGAAAGAAAACCAGACTGGAATTCAAAAAATGCATAATGTTACTACATTTGGATCTGAATTGCAACATAACAGGGACAGCGAGAGCCCCAGTGACTGTGAGCTGCACTGCTCAGCCACAGTCCTTTTCTTCCTCTCCTGAGAGATGTCGAAAGGGGAAAAGAAATGGCAGTGGAGGGACACATCTGAGTAAAGTTAAAAGCATTTGCTCATTTTTTTTTCCCACACCTTGCATACGGATTTTCAGAACTCTTTTCTAGCTAAAGCTGTGTTTTTCAGAACTCTTACTAGAATAGCCTGTATACTAAATGCCCAGTTTAGTGGCCTGAAGTCTGTGGCTGACTGATCCATGCTGAAGATTGAAGGTGGCAATGACTTTTTTGGGGCAAGTATGTCAACCAACACTCCTTGTGAAAACTGTATAATTAAAACTGCTTTCAGACAGCACTGGTTATACAGTCTGTATGGACACCACCAAAAAATGCACTCTTCCTGAATACTGAATGTGGGGTTAATGAAAGAACAATGGCAGCAGTGGATTTGAGCAAGCAGGTGTATCTGAGAAAAGGGTATCTTTCAATAAAAGTTTTCCAGGATTTGTTTTGCTATTTCAGATGCAATGCTTGGAGCTTCTCATGCTGATTTCTTATCATGGGAGGCTTTAGGGTATCCTGAATTACTGAGATACTGTTGTTATATCAGCCTCCAAGCATGGAGCTGCTGCCTTGAACAATCATGGCAGGTCTTCAGCTTAAACCTGAAGAGTGAAAATATATTTGCTTTGATTTACAAGTGCACATAAAACCATGGTAGTTTATTCCATCTTCTCCATTAGCCTACATCCATCACTGGTCAAGGTAACTAACACATCCTGGGGAGAGGACAAGAAATGATGTGAAAAGCATAAGAAAATGCTAAGCAGGCTTTGACAGACTTCCTTTTCCTTTTCCTTTTCCTTTTCCTTTTCCTTTTCCTTTTCCTTTTCCTTTTCCTTTTCCTTTTCCTTTTCCTTTTCCTTTTCCTTTTCCTTTTCCTTT